CATCCCAGTGCCCCCCGGTGCCCCCCGGCCCCCCGGCAGCGCTCACGGTGGTGTCGCGGCGCAGCGGGAACTCGGCGAAGCTGCGGCGCATCAGGTCGTGGGGGCGCAGGGCGGGGGCGCGCAGCAGCAGCAGGATCATGGGGTACGTCAGGCGGAACCGCGACTGCAGCGGCGACGGCCGGCCCTGGGGACACGCGGGGACACGCGGGTGAGGACATGGCGGGGACACAGCGTGGGGAAAATGGCGAGGGACACGTGTCGCTGCCCACATGGTGGCCATTACAATTTCTGCCCTTTTTCCCCTCACAGCTCCCACCATTTTCCCCTCACGTTTCCTGTTCTTTTTCTCCTCACATTCCCCGCTATTTTTCCCCTCACGTTTCCCGCCATTTTCCCCTCACGTTTCCCGCCATTTTCCCCTCACGTTTCCCGCCATTTTCCCCTCACATTTCCCGCCATTTTCCCCTCACATTTCCTGCCATTTTTCCCTTCATGTTTTCTGCTCTTTTTCTCCTCACATTTCCCGCTATTTTTCCCCTCACATTTCTCATCATTTTCCCTTCATGTTTCTCGCCATTTGCCCCCACATTTCTCATTATTTTCCCTTCATGTTTCTCGCCATTTCCCCCTCACATTCCTCGCCATTTTCCCCTCACGTTTCCCGCCATTTTTCCCTTCCTGTTTCCTGCTCTTTTTCTCCTCACATTTCCTGCTATTTTTCCCCTCACATTTCTCATCATTTTCCCCTCATGTTTCTCGCCATTTTCCCCTCACGTTTCTCACCATTTTCCCTTCACGTTCCTCACCATTTTCCCCTCACATTTCCCACCATTTTCCCTTCACATTTCTCACCATTTTCCTCTCACCTTTCTTGCCATTTTTCCCTCACGCTTCTCACCATTTTCCCCTCACATTTCCCACCATTTTCCCATCACGTTTCTTGCCATTTTCCCCATGTGAGAACACACACAGGTGGGGACACAGCAGTGACACGGCAGTGACATGGCGATGACACGCCAAGGGCTCACCAGCATCATGCGGTGCAGGTCGGACAGCTCGGGCACCGGTCCCTTGCAGAGGATGATGACGGTGCCGGTGGCGTCCAGCCCGCGGCGCCCGGCGCGCCCCGACATCTGCGTGTACTCGCCTGGGGGGACACAAAGGCACGGTGAGACACGGCCCTG